TTAATAACCCCAGGCTGGGGTTATTCAGCCTGGAGAAGAGGAGGCTGAGGGGAGACCTTCTTGCTCTCTACAACTCCCTGAAAGGAGGGTGTAGAGAGGCAGGTGTTGGCCTCTTCTCCCAAAGGACGAACGACAAGACCAGAGGAAATGGTCTGAAGTTGGGGCAGGGGAGATTTAGATTAGATATTAGAAAGAACTACTTTACTGAGAGAGTGGTCAGGCCCTGGAACAGCCTGCCCAGGGAGGTGGTGGAGTCACCATCCCTGGAGGTGTTCAAAAGACGGGTTGATGTAGTGCTGGGAGGTATGGTTTAGTGATGGTGATGCTCCTTGTTTGTTGTGTGGGTGTCTATTTTTGTCAGTTAGGTTGACGGTTGGACAAGATGATCTTTGAGGTCCCTTCCAACCTAGAAGATTCTGTATTTAAGGTATTTAAGAAACGTATAGACATGGCTCTTCAGGGCATGCTCTAGTGCCCAAGGTTATTGGTTTATGGTGAGGTGTTGAGTGTGGGGTTTAGTTGGTGGGTGCGGTGTTTTTGGTGGGCGTTTGGTGTGGTGTGTTTTGTATTTATTTGGTGGTTTGTTTTGTTTTGTTTGTTTTTTTTTTTGTGGTTGGACTCGATGATCTCAGAGGTCCCTTCCAACCACTAAGATTCTGTGATCTGTGATCTGGAAACACGGCAAAGGCAGAGGATGGGCAGGTGGGAGATCACACACGGGAGTGGGGGAACACCCCACACCTCTTCCTCTCAATCTCCTGCTGAACCCATCTCCTGGCCGCTCCCAGCCCCAAACGTTTGGGGTCTCTCCTCAGAGCCCCGGCCAAACCCGATGGATCCCCCCCCGCCATCATCTGAGCAGCGCCAGGAGCGGTTCTGCAGGGGGCTGCGGGGCTGCGCAGAGCCCGAGTGCCCCCCGCTGGCCGGCCCGCCTCGCTGCCGCCAGCCAGCCCCTCTTCAACACCACCCCCGGGGATAATTAAGAGGCTGAATTAGGATCTGTCCATTCTTATTTGTGTATCGTTACCTCCCTGTTCGGTAAAGGCAACGTTTGACTGAAAAACAGCCTTCGGAGACCACAGCGGCTTACCTCCAGATGACAGATTAATCAAAGTTTAGAATCATAGAATCATAGAATGTTTTGGGTTAGAAGGGACCTTTAAAGGTCATCTAGTCCAACCCCCCTGCAGTAAGCAGGGACATCTTTAACTGGATCAGGTTGCTCAGAGCCCTGTCCAACCTAACCTTGAATGTTTCCAGGGGTGGGGCCTCCACCACCTCTCTGGGCAACCAGTTCCAGTGTCTCACCACCCTTATTGTAAAGAACTTCTTCCTAATGTCTAATCTAAACCTACTCTACTCTAGTTTAAAACCATTGCCCCTTTTCCCGTTGCGACATGCCCTTGCAAACGGTCCCTCCCCAGCTTTAAAATTTAGAGTTTAAATTACTCTATGCTGTGCTTTATGTCCTGACCAAATTAAAATTGTTCTTTGGCTCTCGGTGGATAACACATCTTTAACCTCCAGATTATTTTGAAATGAGACGGCGCAAACAAGTCTCGAAGAAAAATCAACTGCTTGCATCCAAAAAAAATGGGGAATTACCCAGAAAGCTAGTGACCTCCACTGGCTGCATCCATCCCTACAGGAGCAGGAGATGCCACACACATCGCCTGCCCCCCGCTCTGGCAGGGAGATTGCAGGCCTGACTTCTGATACCTTTTCCCCCAAGTAATTGTATCGTTTAACGGGCTCCTCGCTGCCCCAAAACACCAACTCCTCCAACAAACATCCCATCTCCCCGCAGGTAAATATTCCCTCCGTATAGTAAATGAAGTCAGGAAAAAAAAGAGAAAAAAAAAAAAAGTAGTTTTCTAGCTAAGGGTAGGAGAGGATAGTTGCAGGAGAAGAGGAAGCTCTGGCATGCACCCCCGAACAAAAGGGAACAAGTGGTCTTTACTCGGAGAGCAGCTTCCTATTAAGACTCACTCCTTCGTACATTATGCCTTTCATCCCCACTCAACCACAAAATGATTTTGCTGTAGGAAATACAATGGCAGAAAAAGATTTACATTGAAAGAATCTTTAATAATAAACTGTTGCAGATCTGCCTACTTCCCCATGATTTATAATACAATAAACATCGGATTCTATTAAGTCTCATGCACTGAAGACACGCACTGAAAAACCCAATATGAAAGCCCTCAATTCTTCCCCGTCTCCAGTACCATAATAGTGAAATGAGCATGTATAAATGTGCTAAGAGTATCTCTTTGCATCTTTTATAGCTTGTGTGTATTAATCTGTAAAGCTTATTAAGAAAGTCATTGCTATGCAAAGCAGCACCCAATCTCTTTCTCTCGCTTTTCAACAGAGCGCAGTGTTTAGCCAATGGGACCGGTCCCCTGCCCCTCATTCGGCATTCATAACATGCAACATTTGCACAATGTATCTCTCAAAGGCTGCTGAATAGAAAGCCTTAATACTCATGTAAACAACTGCAAACCAATTACTTAATGAATCAGGCCCACACATAATGAGGTGCCAGACAAAGAGCTATAAATGCATTTTTTGCGCCCCAGCCTCTGCTTTAAAGTAAAATCCCTCAGCTGTAGTTTGGGCTTAACTGGCACATCATAATTATTGTCTGGAGGACATCAGAGGAAGCCATTTTTTTCTTTTTTTTTTTTTTTATTTAGGTCCAGCAGGGTCTTTTGCGAGGTCACTCATCAGCTCAGTGACAAAACGGAGCAAAGAAGAAATTTATAAAAAGTACCACCGCAGCGGCTACGCCGTTATGTTTATTCTCAAGTAGTGGGTTTCGAGACCACTTGTCAAAGCAATAAAGCCCCAGAAGTGACTGCACTAAGTGGAGAGCTTCAACGCCAGCCACCCAGACACCGCACCGCGGCCCGGCTGCAAAACCAGCCCCTTCCATCCCTCCGTCCTTCCCTCTGCTCCTCCTGCTCTCCAGGGGGGATGCCGAGTGCCCAAAACTCAACCTTTTGGTGATAACAATCTTCACATTTAGGAGGCTGCCTTATTTTTTTTGAGTCATTTAAGAAAAACTAACTTTAAGCCATCGCAAGAGATTTTCTTTGTTTTTTTTTTAAAGCAGCATCGTTGTGTATCAGTGCATAAAGGAGGTTTGCTTCTCTGCACTGAAAGGCATGAGGTTATAGGGCAGAGGGAATTAGTTCAAAATCTATCACAAATAAGAATTGGGGGGAAAAAAATAGCAAAAAAAAAAAACAAACCCCATACGCCGTATGAACCGCATCTGAAAAATGCAGAAGGCCCCAAGTGCATTATTAGTAAACAGTACACCATCCAAGGGGGAAAAAGCTTAGACCCTTTTTTAAAATTAAATTTAAAAAAGTTCTGTTTAAATTTCACTGAATTTTTCTAGAGTTGGAAGGGACCATAGAGATCATCTAGTCCAACTCCCCTGCTGAAGCAGGATTGCCTAGAGCTACAGCAGGATTGCCTAGAGCTAGAATTATACATATATTATGAAATTATACATATTTTATTCAGCTGCTTAACAGCAATCCTGTAAGCACCTTCTTCAGGGCCAGACCCTCCTCCTCCTGCTGTCCTGGGCTTCAGTGAATGATGGAACGTAATTCTCAAAATTGCAGAAAATTTTAAAAGAAAGGGAAAAAAAAAAAAAAAAAGAGTTTGACCATAAGACTGTAAGAATTAATCCTGAAGCACCGCATAAATGCCATTCGTCAGTGTTGTGTAATATGGCTTGGTTTTATTTACTGTACTTGAAGAATTAGGGAAATACTGTGATTTTAAACACAAAACGCAGAACAACGCTTGGCAAAAGTGGAATTGTCTCATATCAAAACTGGCCTCATCAATAACAGCATAAAAAAAAAGCTACAGAAAGACAGCAATGCTGTATAAAGAGGACTTAAAAAAAATTATCAAAATGCTTTAAAGTCTGTTGCAGAGTGCTCCTGATGGCAGTTTTCAGGCCAGGGGCGGCGCAGCAGCAGCACCCACTTGCTGGGCTGCCCTAATAAAGAGCAGATAAGGATCTAAAGCCCAGGCAGCATTTCGTGTGATGGCTGTGTTATAGCCCATTTTCTGCCTCTTCTTGACCACTAATTTGATTGCTGCTGTTTGATTACTGTTACATGCCAATGAAGAAGGCAAGAAACATCCCACGGAACTGCTCAGAGGACTCAAAGGAAACTCCTGCAGTTTAAGAAAGACAACCACAAAACAAAAATCACAAAAAAACAAACCACAAACCAACCAAAACAAAAAAAAAACCACCCACCAAACCGCCCCCTTTAGGTACATGTAAAGCCATTGATTAAACACAAAAAAAAAAACACCCACCAAACTGCCCCCTTTAGGTACACGTAAAGCCATTGATTAAATATACTCAGTTTGAAAGTAAAAAAAGGCATGTTATAAGTACTCCAGTATCAAATATAAAAAAGAAAAACCACCCCAAAACCCCAGCCCATGGAAAAGCGTTATCCAGTTACAGCTACTTTACATCTCATACACAGAGAAGAAACCCACCACTTTATTTCTTGAAGACTTTATATTTTATGTCTGCCTCTTTCCTGACAACTCCTATTGTCTGGCCCCTGAGTAGCCCTACTGAGAGCAGCTGTACACGCTAATTTGTGGTTCACTGAGATGTCAATTGAGTCTTAAAATGAGAAAACAACAGCTGCAAAACAATACTTGGCTTTGGCACAAATATTTTCTAAGGTGTACCAAAGCCTAAGATGTTTTCTTAGATAAACATAAATATGAACCTTAACCCTAAACCAAGTGAAAAAAATGAAACGATCCAAGTTCCTTCATTTTCTGTCGGTGTTTCTTATTCTACACAAGCCTTTCAAACGTTAAAGGATTTAACAACTTTACCTTGAGAAGGGAGGACTTCTTTCATTCGATGAAGAACTCGTTTCCAAATGCAGTTCTTGGCTTGCTTTTGCTTCGGAACCGTTACTGCCACTATCCCAACCTGTTAAGTAAAAAACACAAAATAGAAGTTTTCGAATAATAACGGCCAGACCTGAGAGCAGCCTGCAAGTCTCCAGCAGCAACACATTCTTCTTTGCAGAGAGATGCACGTAACGGCCACGCTCTTGGTTTGAGGACAAAACCAAGGGGTTTTGGGGCACGCAGCACGCAGTGCAGGTACCTGCCTCCAGATTGTTTGCTCACAGTTAAGTGGACATTAGTTTAAAAAAAAAAACACAAGAAAGAAAGATTCCCCCGCTATCAATTAAGTTATCCAACGATGATTTCTTGTGAATAGCGAACATTTTACAAAAAAAAGAGCAAACACTGCGATTCTCTTAAGAGCTGTATTGAATCGTGGCAACTTTAAGCAAAACTGAAGGATTTGTAGGGTCTTTTTACTCTTTTCTTTTAATCTCTGAGTTCTCATTTACTTTAGCTAATCTGGAAGCAAGGTTATTTTTATTTTCCTTCCCCTTAAATGTACATTTTTGATAGTTACCATTCTTTTAATATTATTTGATACATCAGTATTTTTAACCACTCTTCTCTCTAGAAATAGAACTGTGTTTCAGAGGCACAAATCTTGGGATTTTTGTGACTTAAACAGCCAAACACCCAACTATTCCAGAACCTTTTATCTACGCTTTCCTTTCTTTCCTTTCCCCACCCTCTGTGTAGCTCATTTCCATTCTGTAGAGACTGATTTAAAAAAAAAAAAAAAAAAAGAGGTAAATGAATTAATTCACTAGAATTGTACAATTGCTCATCTTCATACTTATTTCCAAAGAACGTGACATTCAAGTACAAATCCCACTTTAAAAGGCTACTTTGCATATATACATACACTACTGAAATGATAAACAAGCCCTAATTGTTACCAACTTCATTCCAATCCAGGAAAATTTTGTATTTTGGTCCATCTTGGACACTCCTACGTTCTAACTGGCCACTCCAGCAGATCCCACCACTCTGGGCTTGGATTTGGGTGGCAGAAACCCTCCTTCGTGGAGCAGAAACCCTGCTCGGGTCTCAAGGCACTTCCAGTAAAGAGGTGCAGGACATCCGACTGGCACAGGAGACTGCAGAGCTCAGGCACAGGAGCTCCTGCTGCTTTACAGAACAAAGTCTGACTGCTTCCCAGAGGACGCAGGAAGAGAAAAAAAAAATCCAGAATGGAGAGGGAAAAAAAGAAAAGAATGGGGAAAAAAAAAAGGAGGGGGGGGAGAAGTGCGGTCCCCATCCCTATGATGTGCACGTGCAGAAGAGCAGAGACCTGCTGAGATCACAGGGGACGTCCTGGATGCAAGGCTGATGGCAACTCAGAGTTGCAGGCTGAGGAACGTGGGCATGCACTGAGAAACCACTGACCACAGAGGAACAAATACCCACACTCGTTTGGACATTACCTTGGGAAAGGAAATAAAGCTAATTTAATCAAGTCAGAACTCCCAGAAACTACTTTTCGTTCCAGTAAAGTACTTAACACAGGGGGGTGTTTTTCAGGACTCCTCGTGCAGGGATTCAAACTACAAAAGACAACAGGGCTGAGATGACGTGTTTGCTTCAGGAGAGCATCCCTCTGCCCCCAGAAAGCCTCGCACAAAGCCAGTTGTGCCTGGCTAGCAGAACAGCACAGGCCAAAGGCTCTGCAAATATTCCAAATCCAGTCACATGTGCCCTCAGATGTGGCTCCAGCATGTCCATGGCTTGCTCCTTGCGTGAAGGAGAATGTGAAGCAAATGGCCTCCATGCAAATCATCAGCTCTGAACACCCTTCCCATGTCAGCCCTGCGCGTGGAGGGGGACGTGTCCGCCTCGTTACAGCCTGCTCATGGACTGAATGCTTTGACTCCACCTCAGCCACAAGAGGTGTAGAGTTTTGGGAGTGGATGGTAGCCACAGAAGGTGTTAGCAGGCCAGCTAAGCAGCTGCATCTCATGTGTGCTTCTCAAAGCCTTCCCTTTGTTTCAGGCTGAGCCTGGGAGCCCCACCTTGAGCAGGGACCCAACACTTAGGTTGCTGTCAGTGGGGTCCCCTGCAGCAGGAACGTGTCTGCAAACTCAGGAAGTGCTTCTACCTGTGCACGAGTAACTTCCTCTGTTGCTGTTGAATGCTCTTCCCACCCCTCATGGCGGTGACACGGAGCCCATCTTTGACCCAGGAGTACCTGCCACACCTTTCAGCTGGCACTTCAAAGTCCAGCTCTTTGCCAGTTCTACCAAAACTTGGGCTGGGCCACTGCTGGAATGCAGCCCTCCTTAGGGTTTCTGCACACATACCAGCCTCAAAAGACTATTCCCCCCCACTCTCCGTGCCTGCATCGGCTCCCCTTCCTTCAAAGTCCAGCTCTTTGCCAGCTCTACCAAAACTTGGGCTGGGCCACTGCTGGAGTGCAGCCCTCCTTAGGGTTTCTGCACACACACCAGCCTCAAAAGACTATTCCCCCCCACTCTCCGTGCCTGCATGGGCTCCCCTTCCTTCGCTATGTCCAACAGGAACACAAACTACTTGTTCTTCACCTCTCAGACCCTTCAGAGCCCAGCTTTGCCCTACCTGTCAATTACAACACAATGCTGGGCTATCAATCCCCACTTCTGCCTTAGTTACATGAGGCTGCTTTGCCAATTAGTCCAGTCTTTCCCTCCAGCATCTCTGTGCTGACTTACAGCCTACGTGCATTATGGAAATGGGAGACCCTTCCAGGAACTCCTAAGCCCACCAGCTCACCTCCCCGGAAAGCCTGCCTTGGGGCTTCAACTGAGTTGCAGCACCCACAAAACATCTGACAACAGGAAAGACATTGAAGTGCTGGAGCATGTCCAGAGGAGAGCCACCAAGCTGGGGAGGGGCCTGGAGAACAAGTCCTATGAGGAGAGGCTGAGGGAACTGGGCATGTTTAGGTTGGAGAAGAGGAGGCTGAGGGGAGACCTCATTGCCCTCTACAACTCCCTGATGATCTCAGAGGTCCCTTCCAACCACTAAGATTCTGTGATAACCAGTCAGTGCACGATGATTTGTGCTCTGTGTGCTAAGCAACCACCTGGCTTTTACCTCCTCTTACCCCTCACATCCACTTAATCCCCCAGTCTTCATCAACATGTCCGTATTGTAAGTCGGCAAAAATGAAGAGTCTCCAGTTACAGACGTGCTGTCAACAAAGCAGCCCAACCTGGCAAGACTTGAGTCACCATTCTGAGAAAGCACAAGCAATTGCTGCAACGTGCAGGGCAGAAGAGACACAAAAAAAAAATACACTGATCTGCATAATGGGTTTATGGCACAATGTAGTTCATCAGGAGTGCCGTACTTAAGAGTTTTCTCTCATAGCAGTGTATTTCCTTCATAAAACCGATCATGTTTAAGGTTAAATGCAACTTAGTTCAAAATGACACTTTTATTCTGGATTGTGTGTGTGTGTTTCTGTTGTTTGTTTTGCCAGAAGCACCTAACTTGCTGTGCTATAGCAGCCAAGTGCCCCCTCCCTGTCACAGGCTGGGGACAGCAAGAGGCAGGATGTGCTGAAACACAAATAGGCATTTTTCCCTGAGCACACAACAGAACATGAGAGCCCTGGCAAGAAAGATGCACTGAGTGGAGAAGAGTTGGGGTGGGGGGGACAAAAAGAAACAAGATGTGTTTAGAGCACATCAGCAGTGTGCAGACTGAAACCCTCGGATAAAAAAAATAAATAAAATTGCCAGCGTCATAGAAATCATTCAGCAGGAAGCAGCAGCTCCTGACTGCCTTGCTAAAAAGCACCTCTCCCTTCCCATCCAAATTTCGTAAATTCTTGCTACGCTAAGTAAAAGACAGATGCCATCTGCTTGATGTTCTCTTCCTAAGAGGTTTTTGGAAGGAGTGGTTTCACCATCCAATTCTTCTGTTCTGGAAACACCCCAGAAACACAGGCAGGCAGAGGTGAAGCTGTCTGGATGGGGTACCTCGAGCATTTACTCAGTCTGAGCAGCCATCCTGCACTGCACTGAACAAGCTTGATAAAACCCAGTCTTTAAACTCAAACTGGGCTGTTAATAATGGAAACTTCTTAATCCAGTCGTTTGAGCAATAATGCAGCAGAATGGGAGCTGGTGTCCCCCAGACGACGTAGCTCCCCTCACGCTTCTCCCTATGCATTGTTCCTTCCACTCACAACTAGCAAAGGATCTACAATACCACTATTAATTAAAAACACTCCACACTTTCCAACTTGGAATTAATTGTGCTGTCGGCGTGGGTCAAAGCAGCTTTCATGTCAGCTTTAACAATTCTGTTCTGAACAAAACAGACGTCGTTTTCTTCATTAGCCAGCAATCCCAGGAAAAAGTCACCACCGTTGCATAATGAATGCACTATTATTTTGTTCTGCCAAACAGTTAAAGTGATCTTTAACCCAGAACATACTATACCAGCACAGAACTGAAAAGACGGTATTTTCTCCAAGCCTTCCCCCTATGGACTAGGTTGCAGCATCTATCAATTTATAGCCAAACATCTCAGCATCTAAAATAAAGCTGCGTGATGTAATTTTCTACAAATGAAGAGATAAGAAAGCTCTTGGCCTTGTACTTGCAACTTCTGTATCTTGCTAATCGTACTGCCTCTCTCTCACACATTGTAACCATCAAAACCAGTGTTAAAACCCTTCACTGCAGCTGGAGTCCCGGCATAGAAAAGTCATCTTCAGACACCAAATCATCCTTCTACAAACAGTGTCCAAGTGCTTGACTCTGCCTGTCTGGAAAGGAGACGGGTAACTCCCAAGGTTGCTGGTTTTTAAAATGCAGACTGGGAAAACAGAAGTGTCACTGTGTTCATGTACAGTTTGTGAGCAAAACTGCAATCTTCAACCTCAGCAACAAAAAAAGCACGTGAGCAGAGCCGTAGAAGTAGTGTAGGAGGTGCTGCTCTACTGGAAGAGGAAGAACAACACGACTTTGTATGCCACTCAAAAGCTATGAAGAGCTATCATCCATTATTTCCAATAACAATCAATAATCC